AAAAAATAAGCTCAAGATTTTTCGACTTTTCCCAACAAATTTCAATACTTAGATATGAAAAAAGAAGCAAAATTCAAACTTAAAGTATTCATATTCATTGACTCCACAACAGAGAGACATTTTTAAAATGCCAGACTTTGAAAAATTTCAACACCCTAGATATATAACGTTAAGATTCTGGTTAAAATTTTCTTGATTCTGACTGTTTGAAGAATATCAAGAGTTTTTTATGAAGATTTCAAAGAAATTTTTATGAGCATATAAAATAAATCTAACGTGAATTTTAATGAAATTTTGATACAAATTCAAGACTAATTTTAAAGTAAATTTCAAATTAAATTTTGAGGAGCATCGAGGAAAAGAATTCTGAAGATAATTTCAAGAAAATGTAGAAGAGAGTTCGAAGCGAATTAATCATAATGTCGGGCAGTTTTGGGACAGCCTTCCTCCAGCGATTGTACGGAAATTATGTAAAAAATTCCACATTTCTCAAGCTTAGCATGAATAAGATTCTACTCAATCAAAATATTGTTTCACGGCAATGTTCGAATGGTAGGAAACGCCAGTTTGAACTGCTCGAATGATGTTATCCATTCCGAAAAGTGTTTCAAATAATCAAACTCTACATACAGATCTAAAGGCTCAAGTAACAATATTGGTTTTATCATGGTTTTGAAGAGGTTTTAATTTTTTTTTCTTTATTTAGGAGATTTTTATCCGTAGGCTAGTTCATCTCCGTAAAGGGTGGGAAGCCTTAGAAAGAGATCCCCCAGCCACATTGCTTGAGTATCATGCTACTTCAACCTTTGATAATCTACTTAGCTAAACATATAAACAGCTAGTACAAAAACACAGTAAACAGCATACGAAAAAGACAGATTATTTGTTCTAATAAACGGAAGTCTGACACTGGACCATTCCGTTGCCCACGCTGTCCGCACTGTGCAAGTGATCCATCTCTTCACGTCCTGCAACGGTACCTTGTGTGAGTACCGAGAACCCAATTGGCCTGACCCGGCTAGGTTTTCCGTCTCGATGTTCCCTGGGATACCGCTGTGTCCGGGAATCCATGCGTAGGTAGTGTTTGGTGGCGCAACCTTCAGGATGCCCTGGATCCAGGGGTGGACCGGGACCTCCAACGAAAGGGCCTGAATAACACTATGGGAGTCCGACAGGATCATGCCGTGATCATGATCATGAAGAATAGCCTCTGCTTCTGCCGAGAACACCGAACATTGTTTTGGCAGACTTCTACTCGTTGGGGAAATGTCACCAGCGATTCCCATTTCGACTCCAGCTCTCAATATTGACCCGTCCATGTAGTAATGCATGTAGTTTGGGTACAATCCGGTTAGCTCTGCTACCGATCTCCTAAGGGCTGCGGAATTGTCCCCGGCTCTGAACTTCTCCTTTAACCGGCTGTCGATGTTTGGTGCGGGAGATTGCCAACTCTTTTCTCCGTACCAATGAATCTTGGCCACTGGGGGGAGCTCTGCGTTGGCGATTGTACGAAGAACTCTGTTAGCCTCGCTGAGGAGGTAGATTCTGTCGTTTTCGGCGGTATTTGCTGAAAATGCAGCTGCTTCATTGGCAATGGCTGCGTAGATGCGGTACCGGAAAGGGAGAGTTCCGGCTTGGACACAGCTGGCATCGGCTGGCGTCGAGGGTAGGAGACCGGAGATGATGCGCGTGTACCTATTGTTCACCGGAGCGAGTAAGTGTATTGCCTTGTCGGTGGCGATGCAGGTCAGCTCGAGTCCATATATCAGCCGGTTGTCTACGATGGCCCGGGAAACACGAAAACGTACTTCTCTGTTATTGGACCAGTGGGGACGAGAGATTGTGTGGATGAGGTTGATCGTGCTGCGACAGCTGGCCTTGACCCCTTGAAGGTGCTGGTCAAAACTCAGCGACCGGTCAATGACAACCCCCAGCAGTTTCACAGTTATTAGAGGAAGACAATAATTAAACCGTCATATTACTTGGGGGAATTCTCTGGAAAATTGGTGTGTGGTGGTCCAGAAGCCTAATAATGATTTAGACGAGTTCTGAACCGAGCTCTGAGTCAATTTTTGACTCCTTCTTCTTCGCATTTCAAGCTTATAGCTTATCACATATTAGCTTATTGCGTGCTCTCAACTTAGTGTTCTAGATGCACTTCCACATTTGTTAATTGAGAGCTTTCGATGCCTGTACGATTTTTGCATTTTAGTATAATTGTGTGGCAAGTTCAATCATACTCTATGCTCAAGGAAGTCGAGAAATTTTCCTACCCGAAAAATTCTCCGAAATCGAACCCAGCCACGACCAGCATGGTCTTGCTGCGCCTTTACCTACTGAGCAAAGGGAGGGCCCATTTTTTAGCTCCCCGTTTAATAAAAATCTGAACGATTCTGAAACTTTAACATATTGGAAATTCTGGATGTAAAAAAAATATCTTTAACATAGATTTATTTCTTAATATGCCACACATAGAGCATTCTAGAGCTAGAAATAGACAGAGCCTTTCTAGAGCTTTAAGTACTTCTAGCCGGGTCCACCCCCCTCACGTCTCCCCGCGCTACGCCCCAGGCCTCAGTCTGTAACACTTTAATCCTGATCATGTTCAGAGAACGATTACTCCTACCACCGATAAATGTCCTTGTGAACAAGCTCCCTGAACTGTCAAAACAGTGTTGATGACGCCATCATCTAGGAAAGCAGCAGTGGGAGTAATTCATTGTGAATCCAATTTTCTTTATCAATGTCTGGCGTAACTACTTCACAAAATACATGGATCGATGATCTGAACCTAAATGAAGCCACCACCTCCAGCATGGTTTTGCTGTGAAAATTGTGGTTACTGACACTTCTAAGCATATCAAGTACAAATTATTTGAATTCATCCTGTCCGGGTTGCTTCCACTCATTTCGCTAGACAATATGTTTTTCGGAAATTATGAAATCATTAGATGTTATAGTGATATTTTGTACATGTAAGTTACACGAATAAGTTGTACAGAATGCGTTTGACACGTAAAATCCCACACTAAGAAGGCATGTAAATTTCAGTTCCCTTAGACCGACACATGTAAGCGGCCCTTTTGTCATAAGAATCAGTTGAAAGAAACGAGAAAATCAATTCAATTAAACGTTCTCTTCGTCATGTTGCGTATGTTTTATTTCTAAGTGTGCAGTCAATTTCATTTTCAAAGAGTCACATTCAGAGATTGAACGATTCGAGAGCGTGAATTCAAAGTGAGAACTCACGAATCATTAAATCGTTCATTGTTGACCCTCTGAAATCAAAATTTACAGTTTTTGTGTGTCAAACACATACAGTACAACTAATAATTGTATCTTACAAGTACAAAATATCATTATTACGTCTAATGATTTCATAATTCCGAAAAACATTTTTGTTTTAACGAGTGGAAGCAACCCAGATCCTGTGAAAACAAGATAAATAATTTAATGAATCTAATGGTTCTTTATTGTAGCGTAAAACTCGCTAAAGTTTCTTAACACAATTGAGGCTAACAGCCACGCAAAAAATGATCAATTACCAAGGTGTGTGAAAAGCCGTAAATCCAATGAGTAGACTCGAGCAGTCGGTTTGAGATCAGACAAAACATGCGTCGCAAGAGAAAAAAAAACTATCAACTTTTTGCAACTTCGCCTCGACTACACACACAATGAGGTGATCAGCTGTGGTCAATAACCGAAGCAATCCGAAATAGGGGGAATTCCAAGCATTCTGAAATTGAGCCAAAAAAAAGTTCCATCTAATTAGAACTAGGGGGTAGCATGTAAGCAACCGCTCTTGACCTCTTGTCAAGTAAAGAAAAAAAAAAGTCCAAATGCATATTGTTGTCCATTATCATAGACCGATATGCGGAAGAATGGTTCTATACACGTACAGGAAGCCCAATTCCGGGCCGGGTGCAAAGCCTGGCAAAGAAGTGCTGCCTGTTGCTCGATACTCGATCTCAAAAAAGTTGTGCCCGGCAGCCAATGACAGATCCATTATCGCTCTGAAGATCGATCAATTCAACGATCGATCGGTGCTAATGCAAGGCGTCAATTATCGAATCATCGTATGCCGCGTCAATTACGACGGCATTAGCGATCTCATCGATCAAAACATGACCGAGAAAATTGTTGACGCTTACCGAGTGAAAAAAAAAAAACATATCTATGTGTATCAAAACACACACGCACACACCAAATGAAGAGTATAATTTGCTATGATTGAAATGTATGTTAATAATGGATATTATTTTCCTATCGAGATAAATTTTCTCAGCGTTTCTCTCCATCTATCTCTCGCGCTCTGTGGCTCACACCGAGACCGGTTCCCTTCCTGACCCGTTTGATCACCTTGACCGACAGAATCGAAAACAAAACCAGCGACGAACGTCGCACGTGCCATATCTCTCATAGTTTCAAATCTGGTCTAATTGTTTTAACCATCTTCTGTTTCTCTTTCTCTCTATGTAGATCATTAGTTTCCATTATAGTTTTGGCCGTTTTGAGTAAAACAAGAGCACCCTTCTTATACTTCTTCTTCTTCTTCTTCTGTTACTTGTTCTGCAAGAGTGAGAGAGAGATTGGACCCCTGCCAATGAACTACTAAATCGGCAACGACCCAAAAAAACGGAGTCCAGCATCCTTGAAGAGCACAGAAACAAAACAACATTTCAATCATACTAAATTATACGCCTCACTTGAATTCGGTACTTGACAATTGAGCGGCGAAATTACGACCAACTCACGCGCTTCCGAGTGATGATCGAATCCGGAAGCAGCGAGACCTCCTTGAAACTCGGGACTCTCCAGCAAGATAATAGGTCCCTCATTATTATTTCAAAAACCAGTTCCTAAATCCCATTGCCGCATTTGTTGTGCCCTTCGTTTCCAACACAATTCCCTGCCAATTTATTGTCAAAACTAAACGCAAACACCAATTAAAATCTAATTCACTTCCCAACTGACTAAAGTTTTGTTTCTGTGTTCTCAAGGTTGCCATCTTGGACGCGACGCGAAGGTACCCCCCATGTGAGCTTCTTGGTGCGAGAGATAGACGAGAATAACGCAGACACGCAGGTCAGGAAGAAGCTCAACCACAGAAGCAAAAAAAAAGTGAAGGGTTCACTTACTTGGCTCTCTTCGTCCCACATGGTCACCTACAATCACCACCATTACCATTATTGCGATTGCCATCAGGTCACCAACAGCCAGTAGACGGACGAACACAAGATGCCCAGCTTAGAAAGGTGCATCTACGTGACACAACAGATCGCCCCAGACAGCTAGACGAATCAAGGTGCCGTCACGAGCCACCTTCGGAAACAGAGACGGAGGTCACTCCAATCACCTAAAGCAACACAAAAGCAAACGCTAATCGAACTTGAGCGATCGCACCGTAAATAGACTGACCTAGGACATTAGCAACCATGGCGCCGTTACCGATCATCAACCTCGAACCGAGCGAGGTAAAGGAAATTTTCTGGACCAAAGTGCGAGAGCCGTCGTCCCAGCGAATGCTAATTCTGGTGATCGTCTCGATCGCACTGCTGTTGGACAACATGTTGTATATGGTGATCGTGCCGATCATTCCCGACTATCTACGGTACATTGGGACGTGGGGTCCGGAGGAACCTGTCAATGCAAGTGCACCGACCACAGTGTTTACGCCACATGCACACGCTCACAACGGACAGGACACCGCCACGGGAGTCCTGTTTGCATCGAAAGCCATCGTCCAACTGATGGTGAATCCCTTCTCCGGAGCGTTGATCGATAGAATCGGGTATGATTTGCCGATGATGGTCGGTCTGATAATCATGTTCCTCTCGACGATGGTGTTCGCCTGCGGAAGAAGCTACAGCATGTTGTTCTTTGCGCGATCTCTGCAAGGTGTCGGTTCGGCCTTCGCAGATACTGCGGGCCTGGCGATGATTGCCGATCGCTTTACGGAAGAAGCGGAACGATCGCAAGCCCTCGGAATAGCGCTGGCGTTCATCAGTTTCGGTTGTCTTGTAGCGCCACCCTTCGGTGGAGCGTTGTATCAGTTCGCCGGTAAAGAAGTCCCGTTCGTGATCCTCGCACTGATATCGCTGATGGATGGGTTTATGTTGCTGTTGGTGATGAAACCGATCAAGGAAATTTTAGCCGAAAGGCAGGAGGTTAAACAGGACACCATTCCGATCTGGCGGCTGTTAATAGATCCGTACATTGCGGTATGCGCCGGTGCACTGACCATGTCCAACGTTGCACTCGCCTTCCTGGAACCGACCATTTCGCTCTGGATGGAAGACACCCTGACGAACGATAACTGGAAAATCGGCATGGTGTGGCTTCCGGCGTTCTTCCCACACGTCGTCGGTGTGGTGATAACGGTCAAGATGGCTCGCAAATATCCAGAAAAGCAATGGCTCATGGCAGCCTGTGGGCTCGCACTGGAAGGGCTTTGCTGTTTCATGATTCCCTTCAGTTCGTCGTACATCGCACTGATGATTCCGATCTGCGGCATTTGCTTCGGAATTGCGCTGATCGATACGGCACTGCTCCCAACGCTTGGCTACCTGGTGGACGTGCGTTACGTGTCCGTCTACGGTAGTATATATGCCATTGCCGATATCTCCTACTCGATAGCGTACGCCGTTGGCCCAATCATTGCCGGTGGAGTCGTCGAAGCCATCGGATTCACTGCCCTTAACTTTGGCATTGCCTTCTCGAATCTGTTGTACGCTCCAGTCCTGTACTACCTGCGCAATATCTACGACTTTAAGCACTTTGAAAACGAAGCGAACGTCCTGATGGGAGATCCCCCAACCAAAGAGTACCAAACGTACACGATGCAGGACCAACAGGCGGTGGGTACCGAGTACAAGAACCATCTGGAGTATGGCAGTCAGCAGGATGACGGAGGCTACCAACAGCATCAGCAGGAAACCAACATCGATCAGGGATACTCGCAGAACGGAAGCTACGATCAGTACCAGCAGCAGCAACAACCGGGTGGATACCAAAACTATCAGCCTGGATATCAGGAACAAGGTGGAGCATATCAACAGCAACAGCAACAACCACCAAGACATCTTCCACAGCAACCGGTGGCCAATCCGTTCCGGCAGCAGCAAGAACAACCGCAGCAACAGCAAGCGCCACCACAACCGCGGATCTCCAATCCGTTTAGGCAAGGTTTTTAAATTGTTCATTGTGATTGTTTCTCGTTTCTTTGTTTACATCAATATGACATATGTATAGAAAACTGGTTGAAAGAAAGAGAAGTTCGAGAGCGAGTGTGCGAAGGAAGCGAACAAGGGAGAGATGTTCAAGGATACAGTTCAAAACTGGAAACCGCGAGTTGACTGGCCGTTTAGAAGAAATTTGACACAAACGTTCTGTTGAAAGAGGTATAGAGTAGGACTAGGCGCTAAGTGTTGAGCGTGTTGAGAGACTTCAACGCTGTACTTCAGCTTCTGCTGCATAAACGTATCTGTAATATTCGCGCATGGAAGAAGACGTATCCAAGAGGTATAGGCGGAACTATATAGAAATATTTTAAGAGGTTAAGATTTACCGCCTAAGGAACTCGGTAAGAAGCCACGCGGACGAACCGCTTCGTCGGAACTGCATCGGTATCATAGACATATCAAACCAAGGTTAAACGCTCTATTTGGGTGCAGGGATGCCGAGTCGGGACAGTTCCATGCGTGGCATTTCAGTTTCGGTATCATTTTGTTCATGGGTTATGGCTCTTTCCAAGCGATTGGAACGAACCGCCATCTCCCGGTTTCTTAACATAAGATACAACCAAGGTAAAACGATACATATCAGAGCTTCGGCTCGCCTGAATTTACCAAAGTGATATTATATGAATATTATTACTTTTAGCATTGGTAAGGCAACAGTGGACTCCCCAGCGGAGGGCGTACTCCATTTATCGGGGACGCCCACCGGCGGGACCACTCTATCATCTATACAGTTTTACGTAGCCAGTAAGCATTAGGGTCTTGTATTATCAAATTATCCGAAGGTTATACAAACAACAACAACAACAACAACAAGAACAGAACAGAACAGAACCGTAAATAGTAACGAATTAGTTCAAAACTGCAACTCGAATCTTTGTGTAAATTATTCCTTTTTTCGGTTCGACCACAAGTGTGTGAAACAAAGGAAAAACGATCTCTAATGATATCAATTAAAATAGTTAAATCAAATGAAAAGGGTGTGCACTGTGACTGTCACTCGTGCACACACACGTGTATTCGAACAATTATTATACAGATATTATCATATACTAACAACATAAATATACATATACACCGCTAAAGATGATGTATTTATTAGAAACACACACACAGACTCACAAACATTCACAGGTGCAGCGCATTCCCAAAAACTAAATATCGCAGTCATATCAATTATACACTGAGATAAAAACCGATAGACGAAGCCCAACACATCTCACCACAACTGAAACAAACTTAAAGTTCAAGACTGGTAAAATTTACGTTGCTTGTATTGTATCGTTTACTCGTACCTTGTGTGTGTTATAGTGTTATAGTGTTGAGCAGAAGGAGAGGGAGATAGGGAGAGGAAGAGGTATAGCAGTATGCTTGGTTTCGTTGAAACACGCTAAATTGTTTGTAGATAACACTTTAAAAAAAAATCCAAAACGTCGTCTGGACGATTCGTGTCCTTTCGGTGTAATTCCGTGATCACTGAAATACGGCACAGCTCTATATAGCGGGAATTCCTAACCTGTAAAGCTTTCTGCGATATCTATGACAAAAGGTCGAATTTGAGCCCAATCGTACTCTATTTTATGGTACTTACTATGAGCGTGAAGTAAATTTTGTAATTCCCAAAAAAAACTGTACACCGGCAAAAACGAAAAAGATGTTACTGCCTGCTATATGGGGTTTCGCCTGCATGTTTCGATCGCCAAGATGACGTTCTGGGACTCACTCTAATCGAGACAATTACTATAATTACGATAGGTTCATGGATATTAGACAAACAAAAATGTCGAAACAAACAACAGGAAATAATGTGGAACCATCTACATAGTAGTTGAAACTGTAAATATTGATTTTTCACAATGCTTTCATGCTTTATCCTGTCGTCGTTCATATTCAGTTCAAAGCAATTCGAAAACGTCATTCGGCAAATGTTTATTGCGGTAACTAAATACAGCATGCTGAGATTCACTTCACTCACTTGCAGCAATTTATCGTTTGTTCTGTTTACAAAACGCACAAATTCTCTATACAAAGAAGATAAAAAAAGGCTTGATAAATTGACGTTTTCGAATGGAAAAGTGAACATATACTTAGATAGACACCCATTAAACCCGAAGTAAATGAAGCGATAAATGTAAATCCAAAAAAAAAACTGATAAACGAAAGCAATAATGACGATGAAAATATAGCCCCGAAGAAAACTAAACAAAATGACAAAATGTGGTTCTGTTGCTGGAAAATTGATTTTATTTTTAGTTATTGTACGTAACTCACAAAAACGGAAATTCCATGGAAATTTATGGGCAATGAATCTTCTACTATGGAGCCATGGAGCCAGGCCATACCATTTCAAAAACTTTTTCAATGACGGCGACGATTCTTTTTTTTTCGAATGATTTTAAGACTTTCCTCACAACAACCTAAGCCCGTAACGCCATCCTGATTAATCCTGACCCTTTTATTCGTGAGTGTCGTAGAAAAATATCTGGCAACCCTGCATACAACAACAATTGGTGCGGCTCCGAAAAGTCATCCGGTGAAATTATTGCCTGTGACTGGAGACGTTGTAACTCAATATCCACATAGACTAACACTAAGACCAGTGAGTCACGAAAGACCTTGTTCAATCTTTTGGCTCAGGAAGTACCACACATTCGGTCCCACGCTTATTGAAGCACCCCTCGAAACATAAGAAAATTTCGCGAACCCCTCATTTACTCTGTCAAATTATCCTGCCGAATCAAAACAAACACAAACTTTGACAGCATCTAGTACGACGATGGGGAAGGCTTAAGGCCCAAGCGCAATGACAGCGGAAGCGGAACGGCAGTGGCAGTGGAAAATCCCGATCTGAGTAAGCCTACTTTTCGGATTGAAAACTACTTAAAATCAAACCGCCATCGGTTAGGCTTCTTGATGTCATTTGTGACAACTGTCAAACTTTCCGTTTCCGTTCCGCTTCAGTCCACATTGCGTTTAGGCTTTTACAGAGGTACTTGGGACCAACAGGCTAGTCAAGTAAAAAACAGAAAACAAGTTTAGCGTTAGACACAACGAAACAAAGGTCAGGCTTGACCATGGTATTGATGGTGACTTCAGATTGGTATTCACCGATAAGAACCAGTGCACTATGGGCAAAAATGGGTCCAAAATTACCCAAAATTCAATATCTCAACAGCACGCTGAATTCCTGCCATGAAGAACAACTTTACCGAAGAGAAATCGTCCGGGGAATCGATTGCACGTGGCATTATAGACCGGAGAGCCTTGTAGGTATGTGTTTTGGACCATTTTACCCCATTTTCCCCTACTTTTTGGAGGAAATGTTTTTTCACAGCTCTATTTTTCGTAAAACATAAGCACTTTATGCATGGTTTTAGAATACTATGCCTTTTAAAAACAGTTCATGAGATATTAAGGGAATACGGGGTACACTTTATAGGGGAGTAAGGGGTAAAAGTGAACTCTCGTTAAATTTATTTTAATTCATAAAAATGTTGAACGATGCGATTGTTTGAATGACCCCAAAGGTTGCCTGCAGTAAAAAGATTTTTTTTCGAAATTTTAAGGTTAATTGGGGTTAACTAAGTTTTGATTTACTGCTATCTGTTTTAAAAGAGTTATCACTTTTTTTGCCTGTATACAGCAAAACGATATAGTGGTTCTCAGAATTTTGTAAAAATTGGTAGTTTTGTTCCTTATCGCAACATATTAGACCCGTATTTTTTATTTTGTCATTAGGGTGACTATTTATATATCAGGGCGGTCAAAAAAAAAAATTTTTTCGATTTTTTTTTTTAAATTTATTACTTTTGAACTGTTAGGCCGATGACGGAACTCAAAATGCCAAATGAAAGGTAATTAAAAGTATTTTTCAGAAAAAAATATTTTGATATTAAAAAAAATGGATTTTGTATTAAAAAACATTGATTTTACCCCTTACTCCCCTATAAAGTGCACCCCGTATTCCCCTAATATCTCATGAACTGTTGTTTAAAGACATATTATTCTAAAACCATGCATAAAGTGCTTATGTTTTACGAAAAATAGAGCTGTGAAAAAACATTTCCTCAAAAAAGTAGGGGAAAATGGGGTAAAATGGTCCAAAACACATACCTACAAGGCTCTCCGGTCTATGGTACCACGTGCAATCGATTCCCCGAACGATTTCCTTTCGGAAAAGTTGTTTTTCATGGCTGGAATTCAGCGTGCTGTTGAGGTATTGAATTTTGGGTAATTTTGGACCCATTTTTGCCCATAGTGCAGTGGTTCGCCGAAAGCTTCGATCTATGATGGATTCAGTTTGAGTCGTTCCAGTTGAAGAGAATCAGGGATGCCATTGATGATTTACTTTGGCTCTTCGATGTTGTTTGCAATATGGTAAAACCCGCAAATTCCCTTCACTTGAATCCTGATACCAGGCTTCTTCTTCTGGACCAGCTTCCACTTGAGAATGGAGGTAGGAGAGGGGAAATTTATTGAATTCTTCTTGGAGCATCCACAGTAACTTTCTTTGTGGCCAACGTGATTACAATGCAATGTAAATCAATGCTTCTGATCACACTGCCAGCAGGGAGTCCCTGGGGATGACCGGGTTTCTTCCCCGAAACACTGTGGGTCAAACTGTTCGAACTTGATGACTGGTCGATCATCGTGGCGTTCGACTTCAGAATGCTTATACTGTACCACCCAACAAACCATTTGAGTTGATAAACAACTGAAAAAGCTATTTTTTAGCTGAAGAAGCTTGTTTTTGCCTAAATAAGTTCTTATTCAACATTCAATGTTTGTTGGGCGCCTAGGTACGAGAAAATGCGTTGTCCGCTGACGAAAATCCAGCAATCCTCGAAAATCAGTATGACAAACTGAAACGCTTAACATCATTCCTCCGTAGCTGATAGTATCGTTCGACTCGGATTTCACCAGCTACGGGCACTGACAGCACTTGTGAAATATGGAGATTCACCTGCCAACAATCTTCGTACGTGTTAAGATGGTATCAACCAACGGCACATCTTGTATCGGCATAGGATGAATGTAATTCACATAACAGCTGCAACAGGTTAAACGCTGCGACTCAACGAATGACGGAACTAATGATGGGACGAATGATGGAACGCCTCATGGAGGTTCTACTTGGCTTCGGAACAGCTTCTCAGCGGCAAATAATAGGGACCTAGAATGAGGAACTAGAAATTGTATCCTGGGCCTGGTTATGGCCAGATCAGCAACCGATTATAGATTTAAAAAAAAAACTCCACGGAAAAAACAAACGTCAGGTTCGAACACACGCACAGCCTACTCCTTCTATTCGAACGTCCCATGAGTCTAAAGTGAGCACGATTCTCTGCTACAATGCGCCTTCCAATTTCTCTGCAGGTGTCATTATCGATAGTCACCAGTAAGCACCAAATGCACGAACTCATCGACCTTCTCGATTTCATCGCCGTCAATCTGAACTCGTGGCCAATTAATTTTAGATGTGTTCATGACAAGCCCAATCCGGTTGGCATCAGCTTTCAGTCTGATGCACGTTTCCGCCATCGCCTCAAAGTTCCGTCCCATGTTGTCCATGTTCTCGGTGATACCGAGAAGTTGAACGGACTTTCTGAAGATCATATCTACGGCCATAAATACGGACGTTTGCCATACGGACGAGTGCCATAATGGACGTTAGCCATACTGATATTTTCGTATGTGGACGTTAGCCATAATGGACATGTACCATACTTCAAATTAACTAACATTTTTCAAATAGGGGATATGGCTCTAATGTTGGATGGATCTAAGATTGAGCCCATCGCTGAAAATCTGCTATTTATCAATTTTATCTAGAAGAACGCGTCATTGGGACGGTACAAATGGATATTTTTGATCGCTATTGAAAATGTAGTCGATTGCTGAATTTATGTATGGCCGACATTACATCCATTTCCCCTCCATGTTTGGTGTTAAATTTACGCTTGCCATTATATATTCATTGTTAATTCATATTTTACAGCTGGTGATATTTCAAATAACAGGCCATGCTGTAAAGAAGAAATCAAGAGAGATGTTACTTTTCAGAATTTTAAGATGAGATTTTATCTGTCACAGAACAGCTCATGATACAAAGAAGGAGTCAATTTCAAGAGCAACACGATTAAACGGATTTATAAAATAATGTATTTTCGCTCCACGCGATCACAATTTTTAATAACATTAAAATTATTAAAGTCTTATAGTCATGAAGATGATTCCTCTCTACTTGTAGGTGGTCCAAAATCATCGGAATCACAAAAGAAATTTCAAAATAAAACCGTTCTGTTTTGGCAACACTACATTTTCGGGCATAATGACAAAATACATCACTGCATTCCAACACAACAAAATTATGGCTCTCGTCTTTATGGCAATCGTACGTATGGCAATCGTACATATGGCAAACATCCGTATGGCAATCGTACGTATGGCAAACATCCGTATGGCAAACATCCGTATGGCAAACATCCGTATGGCAAACATCCGTATGGCAAACATCCGTATGGCAAACATCCGTATGGCAAACATCCGTATGGCAAACATCCGTATGGCAAACATCCGTATGGCAAACATCCGTATGGAAAACATCCGTATGGCAAACATCCGTATGGCAAACATCCGTATGGCAAACATCCGTATGGCAAACATCCGTATGGCAAACATCCGTATGGCAAACATCCGTATGGCAAACATCCGTATGGCAAACATCCGTATGGCAAACATCCGTATGGTAAACATCCGTATGGCAAACATCCGTATGGCAAACATCCGTATGGCAAACATCCGTATGGCAAACATCCGTATGGCAAACATCCGTATGGCAAACATCCGTATGGCAAACATCCGTATGGCAAACATCCGTATGGCAAACATCCGTATGGCAAACATCCGTATGGCAAACATCCGTATGGCAAACATCCGTATGGCAAACATCCGTATGGCAAACATCCGTATGGCAAACATCCGTATGGCAAACATCCGTATGGCAAACATCCGTATGGCAAACATCCGTATGGCAAACATCCGTATGGCAAACATCCGTATGGCAAACATCCGTATGACAAACATCCGTATGGCAAACATCCGTATGGCAAACATCCGTATGGCAAACATCCGTATGGCAAACATCCGTATGGCAAACATCCGTATGGCAAACATCCGTATGGCAAACATCCGTATGGCAAACATCCGTATGGCTAACGCATTTATGGCTAATGCCCAATCACCGTTAAATTGTACCATTTGATGAACCTTTTCGATTGGAGCAACATGCGACGTTTCTCAGTGGAACTGACAGCTAGAAATCTAGAGTGTGTGAGTGATCTGGTGTTAATGGTGCTGAATGTAAACAGTAACAAATCAGAAATTCTTCTTCTCTTCTTCTTCTTCTTAATTCTTAGTTCCTTTATTTAACGTCGGTCTCTGTTCCGCAATCTAGTGCCAATCACCGACGGACATCGATTGCCATCCATTGACGGCAATCGAATGTGCAGGAAGGCAGCTTCCACACCTGCGTAGGATATCGCACCCATGCAACACACATAGACTGGGACCAACGGCTTTACTTCCCTTCCGAAGGAAGACGTCATCAGAGATTTTTAAGCCTCAGAAAAATCCCACAGACTTCGGCTGGGATTGAACCCAGACCCAAAGAAAGCAGTCACGCCTACCACTACATCACCGGCGCCGGCAATCAGAAATTCATATGATAATAAGCTGCCAGTTCTACTGTGATCTGTCAAAAGTTCTTGGTAAACAAAAAAGTCAGCTGATCGTAACTGTCTCGTGGACAGCCTGATTATAATACTACCCAGTTCTGTCAAAACTGAACCTACCCAAATCCATTTTTATAGATCAATGGATGCAAAAGCTAACCTCACGTTTCTTCTCTTCTAACCGTCTTAAGTTCATCCCACATGGCAGAAGTATTGTCAATATTACCATCCATAGCTTTACGACAATATTTTCAACAATATGTGTCATCATCAATACTGGGCTTCTTCTCATTAAATTTGTTGTATCAGACGGACTATTCCGAGACGCATGACAACTTTCCTGACAAAAGATGCCGAGAATCAGGCCCCATCTGCTACTGTTGT